AAAAATGGAAGCTCACTCTTAAAAAATTCCGTTTTATCTAACTGAATAACAAGGTTGTGTTTAGAAAGGGTTTCAAAAATATTTTCTAAATGTTGTAGATGTTCTTCAACGGTTTTTGAATATATTATAATATCATCAACGTAGACTAAGGTATTCGGAATATTAGCAATCATTGAATTCATCGCTCTTTGAAATGTCGGTGGAGCATTGCAAAGACCGAAGGGCATTCTGACGTACTCATAGTGTCCGTTTTCTGTTGAGAATGCAGTCTTCTCTATGGAATCGTTTGCCATCTCTATCTGGTGAAACCCTGAGTCTAAATCGATTGTAGAAAATATTTTAGAACCTTGTAATTTATTCAGTAAATCTTCAATGTTAGGGAGAGGAAATTTATCTTTAATTGTTTGGTCATTTAATTTTCTATAATCTATCACCAATCTATATTTCCTCTGGCCGCTAGCATCTAGTTTTTTTGGCACTAACATTGACGGTGAATTATATGGTGAATTGCTTTCCCTTATTATGTTTTGATTTAACAACTTTTTAATTTGATTATTCATTTCCTCTCTAAGTTGAGGTGCTACTCTATAACTTCTTGAATAAACAGGTTTATCTGTTTTTAAATTAACGTTGCATTTTAATAAATTTGTAGAAGGTAGTTTTTCTTCACTGGTTTTAATTATTTTAGGATATTTTCCAATTAAAGTTAATAAGTTTTCCTTTGTTTTTTTGTCAATATGGTTTGTTCTTACCATATTATCAATAACACTTATATCCTTTATTAAGTTTATATTATAATCATCTTCGATTATTTTTCCATTGATAATTAGTTTTCCTCCTATTTTTAATTTAATATCTTCCCCAATATCTATGTTTACGCCTATTTTTTTCATAGAATTCATACCTAATAAAAAATCATATCCTTCGCAAAAATCATAAATTTTAAAAGTAACAAATATTTCATCTTTCAATCCAAGCTTCGGTCCTATATCCAAGGTTACATTTCCATGACCTCTCTTGTTGCCGGCTGGTGTTGAAATAATGAATTCTTCCGATTGTATTTTAATTCCCTCGGGTAAAGAATTTGGATTTATACAATTGATTTCTGCTCCGGTGTCAATAAGCCATTTCTTGCCGCGTTTGTCCGTAAAGTAGGCATCCTTTTTATTATTTAATAAATTTAAGTTATATTTGGGGAACCCTCGCCAAGTACTAAAAAACGATCTAACTTAATTTTTATTTCTTCTACCTCTTTTTCTAATTTCTTATTTTTTTCAAGTAAGTCTTCAGTAGAATGTTCTTGAAAACATCTAACATTATCCACTGATTTCATAGAAACCGTATTTTGGGAATCTGGTTTAAACGGTCTTGAGGGGAATTCTTCATTATTTGTTTTGTCGTTTTGTTTCCAATTGTCTTTTTCATGCCATGCTTGTGGCTTATTTTCTCTATATCTACCTTCGTCTTGGTAGTGTTTTTTTTGCTGTTCGTATCTTTGTCTGTCATTTTGGTATTTATTATAATTTCTTTCTTCATACCTGTTATAATCTGATTTTTGGTTATAATGTGGCTTATCATTTTTATTATAGTCTTGCTTATGAGGATTTTTATCATTTTTATTATGATTATTATAACCTTTTTTAGGAAAAAGTTGTTGTAATAAAGGTAAACCTTCATTTTGTAACTTAATCCTTAACCTAATAAGGTCCTTAGGATCAAAAATTCTCATGTAATTTCCCAATTCTATTGGCAAGCAACTAATTACATGATGTGTAATTCTTTCTTTAATGTATTTGATATGACCATCTTGAAATGTAATATCACTATCAATCCTTATTCTCGAAATTAATACTGATAGTGCGGATTCTACTCTATTAATGAACTCTATAGGGTTTTCGTACTTAAATGGACGCTTAGACATAAGTTCATGGTCTAGTTGACATATAGTCTTCTGGTCTCTATAATTATTTTCAATAAAAATTAATAGTTCATCTAAATTCACGAAATGTAGAGTTCGGATGTGATTTTTCGCTTCTCCCTTAATTTTTGATTTTACTTTATTTAAAAGAGCTGCGTGATTTTCTAGTGCTAAAGTATTATTAGCTTTGCAAACATAATGGAAAACATCCCTAACCTCAGATAAAAATTCGTAAACTTCCCTAGAGTCACCGTAAAAATCTTGAATATGGTCATAGTCCATACTAGTCATTTTATAAGTAATCATTTGTGGTTGTTGTGTTACTTGTTGTATTTGTTGTTGTTGTTGAATTTGTTGTTGTTGTTGAATTTGTTGTTGTGCTTGTTGAAGATGTTGTTGTTGTGTTTGTTCAATTTCTAATTCTGAATCAGACATTTTTGGTTTATATACTGTTAATTTACTATGTCTTAATTTTAATGGCATAAAAAAAAATTATATAAATTTCAAAGCTAAAATTGTTATACAAAAAAAAAAATTTAACAAAAACAAAAAAAAAAAAATTACAGATTTGTACCTCAAGTATTCTTTTAAGTCCTTCCGAAGTACCTCCGATCCAATGTAAGTTCTTGAACCTGTTTGAAGTGTTGAACACACCTTGAAGCAGCCAGTTCCAGATTCTGTTGTCCAATGACTATTTCTTCGAATCTTCTTGACCTGACACTTAGAGCTGTTACTTTAAAGTAATTTCTTCACTCTTCTTTCTTCAAGTTAACACAGGTCCCTACGTTCGGGCGCCAATTAAATCTTCGATACTCACTCGGACTTAAAAAAAAAGTTTATTTGGCAAAAAGTATACAATGAACAAAATATATATGTTACAACAACTACACTAACTATGGTATCTAACTATCTACTATGAGTGACAATGTCTGACTACTTGCTAGGCGGGTAAGGGAGGGGTATTTATACAGAGTCAGGAGAAATATGCTGACTCTAGGGATATACCATTATTTGGCTACCTTAAGTGTCGATGCTTCTTTCTATGTAACCAACAAAACTCTACACCATGACATTAATATCTCATTTGTCCTAGACCTTATCCCAGCAAAATTCTCCAAATTTCACCAGAACTTTACTCATCATTCATATCCCTTTGCACAATGCCTATCCAGCACCACTTATCCCTATAATCCTCCAGGAGGTTGAAACGGCAATGGCCCCGCGACCTTTTATAGTTTGTAAATATTGGAGTTGTGGCAATGGCCACGACATGAGTGTATTTGGCTAAAGCACTCTTTCTCAATCTCCACTGGGTTTAGCCCCAGTGACGCGGTTGAGAGAGAAGTTCATGGATCTCCTGGAGTCATGCTCCAGTCATGTCCTCCACAGTTGAAGGGATAAGTCTGGTTTGGAGTTCTCTCGGCAGATTGTAAATATTGAATATAGGTATGTATGTGTTTTTCTTATTTATTTATTTTTAGGTTATTTTATTCTTATTTATTGTATATATGTTATTTTTCTGTATAATTTATTTTATTTACTGTACATAGAGTGTGAATGTGATCTGTTAACACTATTATAAATGTCCTTGAGACAGATTGTAATATTTTTCAGTAAATAAGTTTAAAAAAATTTAAAAAAAATTAAGAAATTCCTTCTGGAAACAAATGAGGCTTTGTTGGAAATTTTTACACCTCAAATACACAAAACACCTTTCCTCCACTACATAAACATCACACTATCAGGAACAAAGAACTACTACTGTCTGGGTAACCTCACCCAAGCCAACCTGCCTTTGTTTACAACAGCTACAGTGCTGCCTGATAACATACATTAGCTCTACACAATCCATAATCAACCGGTGATATAATAAATAGGACTTTTGTTATTTTAATAGTATTTATGGATTTTTAGCTATAATTTGTTTTTTTTTAGATCAGTTAAAAATGCAATTCAAAAATTTTATAATAGAACATAATTCCTGTTCAAAGTTGAGCGTAAGTGAAAATTTTTTGTTGCGCGCACCAGATTTTTTCTACTTCGATTGGTCAATCGTCCCAATGTGCGGCGTACAAACATATTTTGTTTAATTCTATTTTAGGATTCTGCGTATCTTAAAACGTAAAAATGAAAATGTTGAGGGTGTTAACTTTTTATTTCTTGGTCGATTACAAAGTTTAACCATTTAAAATAATAAACCAAAAAGGATGACATGTTTAAATGAACTAACTATAATGGAATATCTCTGCTTCTCTTTGCATTTAAAATATCTTAATTTAGTTTCTAACATCTTAATTTGCCGGCTGCTATTCTAGATAAGATTTTATAACTACAGAAACGATTTTTATCCTCCAGTTTTTTTTGATACTGGAGTGCTGGTTTGAACATCTCTCACAGTGTGTCAACATGAGTTCAATGGTAACCTGCTAAAAGGATGCAACAGTGGAGGATTGAACGAGAATATCTGCTGCCAATCGTTGCTATTTTGGACTCTGGTAATAATTGGATTACCAGTCCTACAAAACTTACCATTTATAGGACCCTCATTTGTCCTGTACTATATGGACAAATGACCATAACCATAGCTGAAGACAACTCCTCACATTTGAACGGAAAGTATTAAATCTTATTTACGCCGTTGTGTGTGACATAATGAATGGAGGCGGTGAGACAATCGGAAGCTGTTTGTTATATCTTCTGTTATATCTGATATCTTATGATTCTTCCAACTTGGAAGGCTCGGAAGGGCAGGGCATCTAGCCATCAGAATGGCTGACGAGCTCCTTTTTAGTCTTCGCAGAGTTGGAAGGCCGATGCTGCGGTTTGCAGATTGTTTAGCTCATGACGCAAGAACAAATTTAATGTTGCAGAACTGGATGGCAGCGGCGGAGAATAGAGACGTAAGGCTGTTGAAAGTAGCTAGACTCTCAATGGGTTATTGCTCTATTGAAGAAGAAGAAGATTTTTTATAACAAACTTTTTATTAATCGAAAACAACTTAAAAAAAAATACAAATTGATCAACTATGATGAATAAATAAAACTATTTAGAAAATACTGTGAAATATGTTTGAATCTGCATCTCAGCAATAACTCTGCGAAGTTCGTATTGGTCTAGAACAAAGTTAATTTTGTCGATATATCAATTTCATGAATTTTGGAAAATAAAAAAAATAAAATTACTCCTTTTACTTACGGAAAATGGGGTTTACAGCAAAACAAGTTATTCTGACAACAGTACATATAATAAGGACAACATCTCCTTCTAGTGCATCTAGGACCCACCTTCAGAATTATATATTTATCTAAACATGAGGAAAAATTTTTTGCATTAAATAGGATTCATATAAAAATAATAAATATCACAAATAAAGAAAAAATCGGTGCGATGCGCATATCACACAACTTTCACTTATCACCCTTTTAGAAGAAATACGAATTTTCAGACAAATGGGAAGGAAAAGTAAAAATTACATTACAACTACTCTCCGTTACGATCTTTTTTTTCGCCTTTAGCTAATTAACAAATTCTTTCATATTGTATATTTAACATTTTTTTACATCAGAGATCAATATGATATGCTTAATTGTTAAAAATAAAAAAAATATATATATTCAAAGCTGGACATACTAATTACAAGCGGCTAATGTTGGATTTTCACTTAAGGCAAATTCATCATATTATTTACTAATTAAATTTTTTAAGAGGTTACATAGTGATTTTTTGGAATAAAATCGATGATAGATATCTAATTATTGAAATATATACCAGACCCAGAGTCACAAAAATTATGCGTAACGAATGTTGCCATAATTATACTTAATATTCTTAAATTAACATGACAATATGACGGAAAATGGTTTCAAAAAATCTGATTCTGGTGCTAGCTATCATTCCATGCTTAATCTTGAGTTATAAAGGAGTTGACTAGAGATTATACGATGTATTTATTTAGTGTTAAGGTTTCATATTTATCCAAGATTTGGTTAAATTATTAACAACCATTTTGTATAAAAACGTAATGAATTTTACTATTATCCATATAAATTTAATTTTATTTATTAAATTAGATTTAAGGTAATTACAAATTTAATGTAACAACCCAATTCTGACATGTATTGTAACATGCACTATATTTTAAATACATTTTTTAGCCATGAATCAACAAAAAAACATTGGAATTGTAGTTCTGAAGATGTGTGCAAATATTCCGAAACGTTAACATGTAAACATATAATTTGGAATAATAAATGCAATTATTGTTTAATTGAAAGTTATAATTACCAAAAACAAAAATAGCAGACAACTTTCCAGAAAAAATAAGTTAATATTGTTAATATTTTATTCATTGGATATTATTCATCAAATGAAAACGGCAAAGAAGCTATACTGATCTTACTTGGCAGACGTTTTTTAAACCGTAACTTAATTAATATGGGTTTAAAACTCATTAAACGAGGATGTTTTTTATCAAACAAACAAAATTTATAAGTATATTGGGAAGATATAATGGCTCTGAATATGATAAAGATAAAAGTGAAGCATATATATTTCATAAGTCATGATGAGAAAAATTAAAAATACTATCACGATTTTGGTTTCTTTCATCAATGCCTATAAGAAAAACAACTGAAATCATCTTCCTGTTCTCTAAATGTTTATAATAAAAAAAACGAATATCATCAATTGGTATTAGAAACAATTAGTATAAATAAAATTAAATTTATACGGATAATAGTAACATTCATTACGTTTTCATACAAAATGGTTGTTAATAATTTAACCAAATCTTGGATAAATATTAAACCTTAACACTAAATAAATACATCGAAACTAATTATTTTTCAATTATCATCCATTATGTTAATTGAACAATATTAAGTATAATAATGGTAAAATTCGTTACACATAATTTTTGTGACATAACATGTTTAGAAAAAAATGTATAATCTCTAGTCAACTCCTTTATAACTCAAGATTAAGCATGGAATGATAGCTAGCACCAGAATCAGATTTTTTGAAACCATTTTCCGTCATATTAAATGAATAGTTTTTTATTTTTTTATTGTAATGAAATTTACAACTGCATTACATAGAAAATAGCATAAGTAAATGTGACATTGGTAACATGACATGTACAACATTGAGAGAAACTACCCATTGGTAGAACTCAAATTAAAATTCTATATTAGAAGGTCCCGAGGCCATCTTCTTTTCAGACACCTCGGAGGGTTATTAGGGATCGAGGAGGAAGCAAGGTTTGAAACGAGAGGATTCGGATGGTTCTGCAGTTTGTTATGGAAGGATAGATATCTGGATTGGGCCAAATCAAAAACATATGGAACATTAAGGTCTTTATGGATGATTTTATTTGTGACAAAGTAAGGAGCTTTGAGGATTTTACGAAGGATTTTGGATTGTAAGGATTGGATACTAGAGAAATTCGATGGTTTAGTGGAGCCCCAAAGCTCGATTCCGTAAGTCCAAATAGATCTTATTATTGTCATATATATGAGTCGATTGAAGTCGATTTGTAATTTATTGAAAGCTTAGAGCGTTTGTCTAGTAAGTGCTGCAGTAGTCGAAAACATCGGGCGGTTTCTAGTCCTTTCAGTCTGGTATGGGGGTTCCAAGTGAGTCGTTTGTCAAGGTGGAGTACTAAGTATCGGATTTGTTCGACAGGGATAAGAGGGCTATTGTTGAAGGATACTGTAGGACAGGAAGTCATAGGTTTACGACGAACAGTGAAGGTAATTTGATGGGATTTATTGGAATTTATTTTAATCCTTCAGTTTTGACACCAGTTTACAAGACTTGTGATGTGTTATTGAAGAGTTTGGGATGCAATAGATGAATCGTTATTAACTGATAGGATACACGTGTCATCGGCATAGGTGGTAATGACAGTGTTGGATTGGATTGGGATGTCAGCTGTATAAACTGTGTAAAGGATAGAACCTAAGATACTACCATGAGGAACACCGGCAGACTGAGTAAAAACAGATGAATAAGCATTGTTATGATTGACTTTGAAGTATCTGTCAGTAAGGTAGGAACGGATAATGAGGAAGTACGTAGATGGTAGGAATTTACGGAGTTTGTACATCAGTCCCGGATGCGAGACTCTATCAAACGCCTGTTCAATGTCGAGAAAGACTCCCGTGCAGTACATTCCACGCTCCAATGCAAAGGAGACTACATCTACCACACGATGGCATTGCTGAATAGTGGAGTGGGATGTGCGGAATCCAAATTGGTGATCTAGGATAGTGTGTTTAGAGTCTAGGATAGGATACAGGCGTTTTAAGATGAGTTTTTTCCAGGATTTTGCCCAAAATGGGTAAAAGAGAGATAGGACGGTAAAAGGATGTGTGTTCTGGCGGCTTGATGGGTTTAGGTATCATTTTGACAATGGATAGTTTCCAAGAGTCAGGAAAATATGTGGTTCGGAGTACAGCATTAAATATATAGTTTAGGAACAGTATGACTTTTTTAGGAAGAAATTTTACTATTTGGGATGTGATTAGGTCATGGCCAGAAACTTTGCGGGAAGATAATCTATTAATGATATTGAATATTTCTGAAGGATGAAATGCTTTAGATGGAGGAGTCAATTGGAGTGGGATATCCAATTCTGCTTCAACAAAATCAAGGTGGGTTGGATTAAGGATGTCTGGGTGTGGATTAAATGTTTTTGAGAAGTGCTGAGTAAATATTTGAGATTTTTCTTTGTCAGATCTGGACCAGGTTTGGGTTTCAGTAATAAGTGGGTGGTTAAAATATTGGAATTTAAGGAGCTTTTTAGTGGTCAACCATAGTGATTTGTCAGAAGTAGTAAGTTTTTCTGTCATGTTAAGTAAATTTTGAACTTTGTATTTTCTAATTTCAGCTTTTAGTTTGTTAGTTAATTTGTTGTAATATATCTTATCTGATGGGTATCTAGTCCTGTGCATCTTCGATCTTGCTCTGCGCTTTTCCCTTAATAAGATACGAATATGCTGCTGCAAATTTGTCTGTTGGGAGTTGTCAGTTTTATTGGTAGATGTATTATCGTTTATTTTGTCACTTATAGATGTAGTAAGTACTTCTATGGCTGTGTCAATGTCACGTTTCGTCTTAAGTGGAATATTTAGGTCCAATTTATTTTCCAGGTCTTTACGAAATTTGTCCCAGTTTACTCGTCCTGTAATCAGTGTAGGAGAGGACGAGGGCTTAGGAGTGAAGGTTGTGTGTAATGAAAGCAGAACTGGAGAATGATCTGAGGAGAGGTCATCCAGGGATTTGATTGTGACATGGGAAGAGGAAATTTGGGAGGTGACAAATATGTCCAGGATATCAGGATGTTTTTTGAGGGATGTTGGCCAATAGGTAGGATTCAGAGGAGAGAGGACAGAGTAACTATTGGAAGTTGAGACAGAAGATAGTATGTTACGACGGGAGTTGGATGATCGACAACCCCATCGTTGGTGTTTAGCATTGCAGTCTCCTCCAGCAATAAAGCGAGATCCGAAGGATTGAAATAAGGATTCAAGTAAGTTGTAGGTAAGAGTATGACCAGGAGGACAGTATACAGCTGAGAATGTTAAATGGAAAGGACGAGTTGAAATGATTACTGATGTTGCTTGAATAGCCTCAGTTGGAGTAGAAGGAATGAGAAAATGGGATAAGGATTTATGGACAAGAATGCAAGAACCGGCAAGGGAAGTGTTGTCGGGGTGGTCTGATCTATAAGTGATATAGTCACGTATGTAGAAATATGAACTTCGAGTGAAGTGAGTTTCTGTCAGTAGAGCAATATCAATGTGGTAGTCATGTCCTACCACCGATGTGGTCATATAGAAAAATGTCGAGTTCGTCTCGGTAGTTGCGTAGTCCGTTAGCATTCCATAAAAGAACAACTAAGGGCTTTGTGCTCATCGTGAGAGATTGAAGGGAATTTCGGTAAGGATTCTTGTGAGGAGGGTGATTAGTGGCTTGATAGTTTCTTGGAGATCTTTCAGGAAGGACGCAAGGGTGGAGTTTATTAAATCCATCGGGTTTTGTTGGTCAGGTTGGTTTTGATTAGACGTTTGTGAGGGAAAGCTCTTATGATAAGGAATGTCTGATGAAGGATGTACCTTTGGAACTCGGGAAGGAGAGTAAATATGAGCAGTAGGATGGGAATAAACAGGAGTTGGAGGTTCAGCCGGTAATTTTACACGTATAGGTTTCTGATGAGGAGGCATTTGCTGACGTGGAGATTTTGAATAAATGTGGGAGATTTGATTCTTGGATTATTCCGGGCTGGTTCTAAATCGATGAAAA